TTTAAGCCCATTATTGCAGCTACTATGTTGATCCATCTTCTTGAGGGTCTTCCCCTTCTTTGCTGATCTTCTAATTTACCAAGCATGATATCTTTCTCCAGGGATTAGTCCTTTCTGGCAACATGAGCAAAGTAGATGAGATGAAGTCTGGCCATTCTTGCTTCCAAGTAGTATTCTAGCTGCACTTCTTCCAGGACAGATTTGTTTGTTCTTCTGGCAGTCCGTAGCATTTTCAATATTCTTCACCAATACCACAATTCAAATCATTACTTTTTCTTAGGTCTTCCTTATTCATTGTCCAGCTTTCACATGCATATGAGTCAATTGAACATACCATGGCTTGGTTTAGGTGTACCTTAGTCTTCAAAGTGACATCTTTGCTTCTTAACACTCTAAAGAGGTCTTTTATAGCAGATTTTCCCAGTGCAGGACAATGTCCCTGACTGCTGCTTGCATGAGTGTTGACTATGGATCCAATAAAATGAAATTCCTGACAACTTCAAACACTTCCCCAGTTATCGTGATGTTGATTGTGAGGATCCAGTTGTGAGGATTTTTGTTTTCTTGATGCTGAAGTATAATCTTTACTGAAAACTGTATTCTTTGATCTTTGTCCATACATGTTTTAAGTCTTCCCTTTCAACAAGCAAAGCTGTGTCATATGCATATCGCAGGTTGTTAATGAGTCTTCCTCCAATCCTGATGCAGTGTTCTTCTTATAGTCCAGATTCTCAGTTTATTTGCTCAGCATACATATTGAATAAGTATGATAAAAGGATACAAACGATACACACCCTTCCTTATTTTAAACCATCCAGTAGTGGATTAGTAGAAATAGATTATCATCATTTTTATTGAGTAGTATTTCCCCAGGGATACAGGTGAGGAGAGACAACTCAGGGACGCCCAAAGCAGCAGGCCGGAAGAGCAGGAGAAAGGGGATTAAAAGCCAGGAAGCCAGAGAGAAAAGCAATCAGCCGAAGGGATTAGGTGAGGAGAGGAAACTCAGACCCGTCCAAAGCAGCAGGAC